TAATAATAATAATAATAATAATAATAATAATAATAATAACAATTATTATTATTATAATTATTATTATTATTATTACTCCATTCCGGCAGCTACCTGCCTTCTCCCTGTGAGGAGAAGACCCATTTGACATCCCACTCAGTGTAGAGCCATTTGTATTTCAGCAATCCGCTCTCTGTAACAGCGTAGGCCCGAGGTTACTACTCTGACACCAGCACCCATGGAATCGCCTTGCTCCACTAAGAGAAAGACATCCTAAGTACTATTTTGTCTGCTGAATGTCTTTTTATCCTGCCCTGGAAAAATGAAACAAAAACAGGTCACTTAACATGAACACAAACAGTAATTTTTGTCTTTGAACTGTTCCGAACCAACAGATACTTGAGTTTTGTTGATGTTTTTTTAGTCTCTGGGACAGTGTGTGTTGTGGATGTTTTTCGTGGGATTGTCTCAGTTTTCAGTCATGCGTTTAATGCAGCCTGCCTTCTAAATCAAACTATTCATTTGTAAAATCTTAATTTTACATCTTAAATTTGACTATTGTTGTGTTTCGTCAGGCATGTCCATGTGCGTCCTCAAAAATAGTTTCACACAAGGATTCACGCCAAGATCCAGCACACACATTTTCTTTGTGTAACTGTGTGCGCACAGATAAACGCATGCTTTAAAAACACTGGCTGCTGGAACATGGGCAGTTTCCAGAGTGAAACCTTTGCTTGAGGCTTAACCAATGAGAGAAGCCCCATTTTGATGGCTGCTGTTTAATCTTTTAAAAACAAAATCACGAACTACTTAGCTGTAACAACATCTGTTGGCCCTCGTTCCAATCCCTTATCTCCTTTGAGAAAATGCTACATAAACAATGAATTTGTTCGCCCTCTCCTCCTATAGGACAGAATTAATCTCTGTCACAGGCCGGCCTTATCACCTCACATACAGCACTGGTCCTGACTATGTTTGGCACTGAGCTGGCTCTTTTCCCGAATCTAGGCCCTGGCTCCTACGTGACCCCATGAGGTCCACAAGGCATCACTGGAGAAACTAAATATATCCTGTCCTTCAGCAGAGGCGGGGCTGTTTTCTAAATGAAGTAGCTGTGTTTGTTCTTGTTGACAAACTGGACAACACGTTCTCCTG